GCTGCTTCAGCCTTGAGAGTACAAACAGCAACAGGGGAGGAGGAAGAGGAGGAGGGGCACCACCACCACAAGTACACTCAGATTGGGGGCGCAAAGGAGAAGTATCCCTTTTGCCTCACCACCTTCTTCCTCTTGTGCAAGCAAGAAAACAAGGGGTCTTGAACAATGATGGCCTGTGGGTCTCGAAGCAACGAGATAGTGGACGAGTTCGAGAAGCTGGTCATCAAGATGAACCCTCCAAGGTTTCTCTCCTTCCTCGCAACCCCATGTTCTTCCTCCTTTCTGCCCCCTTTGACCTGTGTCCCTTGTTAACTGTGCTGCTGCTCCTTGGCCTTTGGGAACTTGCAGGGTCACCGTGGATAATACCTCCGACATGACTGCAACCTTGGTCAAGGTACAGACACAGCTCCGGAGCCCTGCTCTGTTCTTGGTTCCTGCTGCAAATTCTGTGCCGACATTTCTTTTCCTTGCATAATTATTTCTCACGCCCGGTTTTTTTGCGCAGGTTGACAGCGCGAACAAGTATGGGACCTTGCTAGAGGTTGTCCAGGTGCTGACCGATCTGAAGCTGACCATAAACCGGGCCTACATTTCCTCTGATGGGGAGTGGTTCATGGATGGTGAGCAGGGCCTTTTTTCACTTGCAGCATCCCTGTCTTGGAAAGATTAAGGAGGAAGCTAGCGTGGCTTTCTGCTTTCGATTTGGGCGTAAATCTTTCCGTCTTTTCCAATCTTGATGATGAGGCTCCACCTTTGTGCAGTGTTCCATGTCGTGCATGAGGAAGGGAATAAGCTTTATGACGGCCAAGTCATCGACAGAATTGAGCAGGTAAAGTACTACAAAGAATCCCAGCCTGTGCAGCTGCCTGCGGATTAATGGTTTCCCTGGCAAAGGCAGAGCAGAGTGCAGAGCAATGTGTGAGCTCATTGCAGTTCGGGATCGGCGGTGTGATATAGGAACGTGTTGATTGCAGTCTCTCGGAGCCGGGTCGCTCAGCTTCCGCGGCACGGACCGGTGCGTCGGCGTCGACGCGGAGGCGGAGGCGGCGCAGACGGTGATCGAGCTGATCGGGCGGGACCGGCCGGGCCTCCTGTCGGAGGTGTTCGCGGTGCTCACCAACCTCAAGTGCAACATCGCGGCGTCCGAGGTGTGGACGCACGACGGCCGCATGGCGGCGCTCATGTACGTGACGGACGCCGAGACCGGCGGCGGCATCGAGGAGCCCGAGCGTCTGGACACGGTGAAGCGGCTGCTCCGGCACGTGCTGCGCGGCAGCAGCCGGGACAAGAAGGCCGCCCGGGCCGCCATCTCGGCGCGCGCCGCGGCGCCGCACGCCCAGCGGCGCCTGCACCAGATGATGCACGCCGACCGGGGCGCCCACCGCACCGACGGCGGCGACGGCGACGCGGCGGCCGACGACCGGAGCCTGCCGGTGGTGGTGGTGGAGGATTGCGCCGAGAGGGGGTACACGCTGGTGAACGTGCGGTGCCGCGACCGGCCGAAGCTGCTGTTCGACACGGTGTGCACCCTCACCGACATGCAGTACCTCGTCTTCCACGGCACCGTCATCGCCGAGGGCTCCGAGGCCTACCAGGTGCGCGCGTTTTTCCCTTCTCCTCTCCCTGATGAGACTGTGCATGAGTCGATGCATCTTTCTTTCCCTGCCAGTGCCACTCTCCAGTCTCCAGTCCAGTGCACAGCATTTTCACCGGTTCCGATGCTCCTCGCATCGCATTTCTTTGACCGGCAGTACACGCTAGTGGTACTGGAGAGCCGAGCAGAGAGCAGAGATGCCTCTGCTTGTTAGATCTTGGCATGTGACGAGGGAAGGATGGAGATCCTACCTAGTTTTGCGTGAGCTTGACTGACTGACCAAACAGCTCCTTTCGTTCCTATACGCAACAAACAACGAGAAGAAAATGCATTTACAGGAGTATCTTTCTTAACGTACGGGCAGAATGGGAAAGACAGACACATGCTCATCATCGTTCCTCCGCTCCTGCAGGAGTATTACATCAGGCACCTCGACGACGGCGCCGCCGCCTCCGACCAAGACCGGGAGCAGCTCCGCCGCTGCCTCGAGGCCGCCATCCAACGCCGTAACACAGAGGTACACATCATCATCATCATATGCATTTGGTTCGGACACAAAAAACATTCTTACTGGACCGAGCTGCACCGCACTGCGAGACGAGAAGTGCTACGCACAGCATGTGACGCGTTTGCACTTGGCAGGGGCTTGGGCTGGAGCTGTGCTGCGAGGACAGGGTGGGGCTGCTGTCGGACGTGACGCGTATATTCCGGGAGCACGGGCTGTCGGTCACGCACGCCGAGGTGGCGACGCGCGGGGAGCGGGCGGCCAACGTCTTCTACGTGGTGACCGCGTCGGGGATGCCCGTGCAGGCGCAGGCCGTGGAGGCCGTCCGGGCGGAGATCGGCGACGAGATCCTCCTGGTCAAGGAGGACGCCGCCGCGCCCAAGTCGCCCCCGGGCCGCGACGGCGGCGGTCGCTCGCTCGGAAACATGATCCGGTCCCGCTCCGAGAAGTTCCTCTACAACCTCGGCCTCATTAGGTCATGCTCTTAGAGCGGCTGCATGGACCTACCTACCACCTAGCTCCGGTCGATCAGCTCATCAGGTCATGCTCTTAGTCTTAGAGGAGCATGGATGGACCTACCTACCTAGCTCAGGGTTGCAGTGCTGTAGTACGTAGCTACTAGCTAGCTAAGCTAAGTACGTAGCTAGGCTAGGGCGCGGCTCCTTTGTTAACCATCCTTGTCAACTTCTTGGGTGAAAAGGAACGTGCATGTTTCGTCGCCAATCAGTAGCAGTGTAAATATTCTCAATCTTGTCGTTCTTCTTCATCATTTGCCATATCTTGCGTCTCTGGATTGCTTGTGTCCGAGATGGACTGTCCGCGTCAGCATCGACGTGGGAAGCTAAGTTAACCACGAATCACGAGATGTGGAAATTGACCTGCGAACGTATACGAAGTATACGAAGACACGAACAAGGTGCGATCGAGGTCCTTGTGCGAAAGCTTAAAGCAAGCGGGGTTCGTTATAATATACGCATGCACTTGGGACGGTCTAGGTGGTGTCAAAACAAAGGATGCTTAGCCATGCCGAAGCAAACAGATGAGTACTGTGATTCAACTGCAAATCATGTACGGCGTCTTGGTTTCTTCCCGTTCAATGTTAAAACACTGGTACTACTAGTAGTTTAATTAATCTTGTACCTTTCATCAATGCGTGCGTATGCTCGTCGGCTCGTGAGGCGCTGCTAGACCACTGAGGTTCACTTTCTCATCACGTGCGCCTCGCAGAAGAGAAGGTGAGTTAATTCAACTGCCGTTCCCGATCAGTACCACCTCCGTGGCTCCGTAGCAAAGCTACAAGCATGGACACCAAGGAATGAATGCATGCACACGAGACGTACATGGCTCAGCAGCCATGGCAGAAGCGCGTCGTTCAAAGTTTCAAACCGGAGTCAGTGTGTGTATGTGTTCTCCCGACGAACTGCAGTAACACAGTGACACTAGGAGGGAGAGGGAGAGAGAGTGAGAGAACAGTAGTAGCTGGTTTGTTTTCATGAGACGAAGAAAAAGGGCTGAGACGCCGAGCTCGATCCAGCTCTTGGAGTTTCCAAGGAGCAGGGCACAGGAGCGCTGGCGCGGCTCATACGGAGGCACAGCAAGGGCACGTGATTCACACTGTTGGCAGCCCCCCAAACCGAACAGTTTGCTCCTGTAGGGGCTAGTGCTAAACCTCTGAGCTGAGGCCAGGCGACAAAACCTTCACTGCCGCCGCGGCCCCAGCCTCGCCACCACCTTTTCATGGCGCGCGGGAACCGCACAGGTTTTGCGCTGCGCGGCCCTCTCTTTTTCTTTCGGTAACAAGAAACGCCGGTGGTGGTGGTGGTGGCTGACTCGACACGAGGCGACACAAAGGTGTCTCGCTGCTGCCCTTTCCGGTGGCAAGGCGAGGCAGCCTTTGCGTTCCCGGCACACTCTCTTGATCCGACCCCGACTAGGCTCGGCTTTGGTTAGCTAGGGAATTGCTTCGTTGGTTAGTGCTGTCTGTCGTGGTCTAGGCAAGGCTTAGTTCGCATGGTTTGGGACAGAGTTAAGCAAAGGTGATCATGACATGGTGACAAGGTGATAAAAGGAAAAGGGGATTTGGTTACACAAGGTGGTAAAGCGGCAGACCAGCAGTTGCCTGCACGACTGGGTTTTGGGACACAAGGTGCGATCTCAAGGAAAGGGCGCAAAAGGTGGTGTCCCTTGTTAATTCCCTGCACGTCATGGTCTTGCTTGCTTTCTACAGCACCTCCCACGTTCTTATCATCGAAATATCACGTGGCATTCGCGGGAATTTTTTTTGCTTGGCGCTTATAAAAAGACAAAGCATTTGAACCTCTTGTTCGTGTCTCCAGCAAGAAAAGAAAAAAGAAAAGGAGCTCACTGCTGCCAGCAGACACGCAGTCTCTCCCCGAGTGGCGAAGGCATGAACGATTTTTAGGTGTGACGAAGTTTACATAGGGCGTGTTTGGTTACATTGTCGATTCAGCTTAGCCCGGTGAGTCTGGGTCTATTGAGTCTGGCTTTATTGAGCTGGTTTGAAGGGATGCAGGCCAAAAAAAAATCACATGCACATAGTTTGGTTGCCTGCATGCCTCTAGTTGTATGAGACAATCATTTTTGACCCGGCGTTTGGTTGCCTGCATGCCCCTAGTTGCATGAGACAACCATTTTTTACCCAGCGTTTGGTTGCCCGCATTGCATTAGGTGCACATATGACATGGTGTTTGGTTGCAACATGCATAAGGTGTTGTCACCACTTCTAACTAGTGGTGACCTTACCACACACAATCTGAACATAGTGCCACCTAGTTAAACAAATGACAGTTCATTGTAACTACAGTCAAATGACGGATCAAATTATTAAGAGTCATTGGCTAAATAGGGGATAGTTCATCGGTGTTGCTGCTTCATCTTCCTCTTCATCTTCCTCTTCTGCTTCTGCTGCTTCTTCTTCTTCTTCCTCTTCTTCCGTGCTTCTGTTGCTGCTGTTTCTTCTTCCTCTTCTTCAAATCCCGCACTGACCTCTGTTAAGCCACATTGCCTCTGCCCACTCCAACTTTTTGTTCTTCCAAGCGTCATTGTCAAATGCCTCCACACCATGGCCAGAGCTAACAACATCGTCAAGCTCGACCTCTTCCTCCTCAGGCACGTGTTCATCAAAGCCCCACTGGAGGATCCAGTTATGCAGAATGCAACAAGCAAGAACTAGCTTAACCTGAGTGGAGTATGGGTGGAATGGCTTCTGATCCAGGATCTTAAACCTATTCTTCAGAGCTCCAAATGCCCTCTCAAAAGTTACTCTAAGGCTGGAGTGTCTGAGATTAAACAGCTCCTGTGCAGTCCTGGGAAAGTTCCTACCAGAGAACTCGTTGAGATGATACCTTGTTTTTCTGAAGGGTGGAAGAATACCCGGCCGACATACATAGCCAGCATCTCCAAGGTAGAACTTGCCGTCGGGGATGTTGATCCCATCAGGTCGACTCATGCTGTCAGTGAGAATGTTTGCATCATGCGCTGACCCCTCCCAGCCAGCCAGCACATATGTGAACTTCAGATCAAAGTCAACAGCAGCAAGCACATTCTGGCTTGTGTAGTGCTTCCTCCCCCTGTATGCTGCAGACTGTGACCTAGAAACTCTGGCAGTGACATGAGTACCATCTATTGCCCCAATGCAGTCCTGAAAATGGCATCGGTAGCATGTGTTAGTGCTGAACTTGAACAATACAAGCATATCAAACCATGAAAAGTGTATATTGTCAATGCTCACCTTGAAGTATGGATACCATCTTGGGCTTCCACGAATTTGGGGTGGAGTCTGGCCAGATGGTCTCCTGATCATCTCTCCGCTAAGCTCCCCAACAGCAAAAAGCACCTGCTTGAAGTACCTAGAGATGGTCTCCATTGATCTCCTGAACGTGTCGTGAATGACCCTGAACCTCTGGTTATGGCTAACAACATGGAGGAACATGGCCACTTTCTCTTCAACACTGGTGTTGATGCTATCTTGTAATAGGCCCCTGCTCCTTTTAAATGGTGCTCTTTTCATTCTAAGCATCGATAGAGCCTCGACGTCATTCCAGTTGTAGATGTAGTTCAGATTTTGGATCCTTTCCTGTTCCCGAGGAAATAATGGACCATAGCAGACCAATGGTCTCCTAGCACGACGAACAGCTCTCTGGTGCATGAACATGACCCATGCCTGAATCACACTAATCAGTGTTGCTGCCTGGATTATCAGCCTCATCCGTGCGTCCATAACCTAGTCGACATCGACGGTTCGTTCAGTGGGAAATCAATCCTACACCTAGCTTAAAGGCCTAACCACTGAGCTAACAAAGGGGAAGGGGGTGCTGCTTACCGGCATCGGAGATGAGGACGGCGTAGGGGGAGCCATGGCACAAAGTAGGTCGACCAGACGGTGGTCAACAACAAGGGGAGCACCAGATCCGCCGTAAACGCCGCCGCCTCTTCCGCCGTCGCCGGTGGTGAGGCAGTAGGGAAGAAAGGGGGGCAGTGGCGATGGGTGAGCGAGTGAAAGGGGGTGAGGCTAATTTGGCGCCGGGACAGCGCGCCAGATTTCCATCTCCCGCCATCCCCCCTCGCCCGCGCCTCGCTCCCGCCCATGCGACCTCGCGCCGCACTCAGCCTGGCTCGCGAGAAACTGCCGATCCGAGGGTTTCCAGCGAGCCAGGCTCTGGGCTGCTTTGAGAAGCGTGCGATGCAGGCCCAACAGGAAAACCAGGCAACCAAACAGGCCTCTTCCTTCCCGCGCGGGCCTGGTTGGGCTCGGTGCGGGCAACCAAACACACCCCTAGTATACCGCTCAGTACAGATCCTACGCTATTACCAAGTGTGTACGACAATTCCTAGGTATGCCACACGCCAAACCTTGGTAGATTGATGGCTCCATCAGCGCCTCCCCACTCCCCTCGCCGTCACTTGCAGTGCCCTCGGTCAAATCCCTCGTTGTGGTCTGGACGACGACGGGGATTCTTTCTACCTCGCGTGACTATGATGTGTCGGCTCTGAACGACCCAACACTCTCGGTGGAGCTCAGGATCCCGAGCGGTGGCTCGTGACCTTCTGGCGACTAGGACAATCACAGTGGTTGTGTGGAAACCATAGCTTGAGGAGAATCTATTTGTGGTCTCACGATGCTCAACTAGGACTGTGAGGTGTGTGCCATCTCCGGCGACAAGCGGCGCACCGTCTGGTCGCGGCGGCGTGTACGGGGTCTTGGAGGCTGGCCTTTGTGGGATGTTGCACGCATTGTCACTAGATCTCCCTTGGCCAAGCTCGATTTGGATCCCGTGAGAGCTCAACTGTGTGCAGCTCTTCGTCTCCGCGAGGTGTTGGTGGCGGTGGAGAGGCTGCTTAGCCTGGTTCCTCCAACTCTGGTGGTGTGGTTGGTGGGTTGCGGGTGTGATGTGTGTCTCGTCTAGTGCTACAGCGGGAATGTTTTAGCAATCTAGGGGGTTGTTCTTGCTTAGGCAGATACTGCGTT